CCACCCCCACAGCTGTAAAACTGTGGGAGCTCAGTAGTTCTACCCCTATCTGGGAAGCTCTCTCCCCTCCCCTTTGCCCGGGAAGGGGATTCAAGCCGCGGAGCAGCTGTTTGACGCTGCTCCTGCGGCTTTTACGCGTCCTCGGAGCAGGCGGCGAACGAGAACGCCGCCATCGGCACAGGAACTCAAACCGGAAGTCCTATAGCCATCTCTTTTTCAGCCAACTCTAGATAGCTCCCAATCAAAAATTAAAGGATATATAAAATCATTTTTAAAAAAAAACCATAAAACACAACCAGTTAAAACATAAAGCACTAAAACAATGAAATGTTAAAATGCCAATCCATGTTAAAACATGTAGTCACCTAAACCTGCCACAATCTTGGGGGGAAAGCCAAGTCTTTATATTCTTTCTCCAGGGTTTCTGATGGGCAGGATCTCAGTCCAAAATAACATAGCAATATCAATAGTATTATGCTTATATATAGTATATATGCTTATATACCATTTCATAGTGCTTTACTACCCTCTGTAAGTGGTTTACAGAGTCAGCCTATTGCCCCCAACAATCTGGGTCCTCATTTTACCGACCTCGGAAGGATGGAAGTCTGAGTCAACCATGAGCCAATCAGGATCAAACTGCTGGCTGTGGGCAGAGTTAGCCTGCAATACTGCACTTCAACCACTGCAATACCAGAGCTCAAAAGGCTAATCTTAAAGTAAGGTTACTTGAGGTTCATGTGAGTGGGTTGGATACATCCCTAAGTAGCCTCAACCATGACTGTTGCTTTTGGCTCAACCACTCTCAAGTCCATTAGCAGGACATTGATTGTGCTCTGGGTACAAATCCCATTCAGTGGCTGGTGAAGTAACAGCTGAATACAGGTCCTCAATTTATGACCACAATTGAGCCCAAAATTTCTGTTGCTAAGCAAGACACCTGTTAAGTGAATTTTGCCCTCTTTTACGACTTTTCTTGCCACATTTGTTAAGTGAATCACTGCAGTGGATAAGTTAGTGACCAGGTTGCTTATTAACCTATCAACTGGCTTCCCCATTGACTTGGCTTGTCAGAAGGTCACAAAATGTGATCACATGACCCTGGGACACAGCAACAGTCATGAATATAAACCAGTTGCCAAGAATCCGAATTTTGATCACATGACCATGGGGATGCTGCAAAGGTGGTATCTATGAAAAACGGTCATAAGTCACACTTTTCAGTGCTGTTGTAACTTTGAACAGTCACTAAATGAACTGTTGTAATATGAGGACTCCCTGTACTTTTTGCTTGCCCAAATGTTGCTACCATACAAGAACAGTTATCCTCCGGTAATCATAATTGATGTCCTGGCTTCTGCCCATTCTGTATCCTGTAAGTTAATTTGAGGTCTGGGTTGACTGGCAATCTAAGATCCACCTGTGCAGTGCTCTGTAGACACCTGCATAACCTCTTGGTTCAAATCCCTCCCTTCTGCTTGATGCCTTCTCCTTCCTGAACTGGATTTCGACTTTGCAGCTGTGCTTAGCCCTGTCATTCAGGACCTTTTCAACAGCAGTGTTCAGAAGCATCTGCAAAATTCAACACTTCAGCTCCAAGTGTGTCAACTTGGAGAAAATCTAAGTGGTTGCTAGGGAATGAAACTGACTTGATGCCACATAATCAATCAAATGATTATGCTGCAAGCTCCACCTTCTGTAAGTCTGGCACTGTGGTGCAGTGCTGATGTTGACAGAATAACAAAGTGGGAAGGGACCTTGGAGGTCTTCTAGTCCAACCCTCTGCTCAAAGCTGTCCAATCTCTTCTTAAAAGCCTCCAGTGTTGGAGCACCCCAAACCTCTGGAGGCAAGTCGTTCCACTGAGTTGTCATCATTTGACAATTTGAAAATGGTGTCATCGTTTGAACTAAAGTGTTGGATCCTGATGCATCTGCAGTCAAAATCTCTACCCTTTTCAACATTTTATCCCTAGAGCATAGAATAATAAAGTTGGAAGGGACCTTGGAGGTCATCTAGTCCAACCCTTTGCTCAGGCAGGAAACCCTATACCATTTCAGACAAATGGCTGTCCAGTCTGTGCTTCAAAACTTCTGAAGGCAAGCTGTTCCACTGGTTGATTGTTCTCACCATTAGGAAATTTCTCCCTAGTTCTAGATTGCTTCTCTCCTTGATTAGTTACCATCCATTGGTTCTTGTCTTGCCTTCTGGTGCTTTGGTAAATAGTTTTACCTGTGAATCCACAGAATCCACAGAATCCACGTTCCCTTTGTTCAGTCTTATATTTGTTAATCTCAGTCTGGGATAAATTTTTGCAACCTGCTTTAGAAAGTCAGTTTCCATCGATACATTAGCCTTTGTGGCTTCAGTCAGCTCTAGACACTGAATAAGAACCTGTATCTTTTCTTTGGCTGAGAAGATAACTTTCATATTTCTCTGCCCTAATGCCCAAGTGGGCAGTAGGTTGAGACTGGCAACTGAAGTCGCACTTCCAACACATAATTCCTGGAACAGGTCACAGAAAATCAGCTTTAAAATGTGCTCCATCAGTCCATTTCCCAAGCAGCTCAAGGATTAATACAGATGTTCCTTCCCACTATTTATCTTGTTCCCACAATGATCCTGAGTGATGAGAAGCTAAAGAATAAGAATTCAGCAAGCTTCCTGGCCATGGAAGGTTTAGGCATAAATAACATTTTTCCAGTCCTGGACTATTTAATTGTGGCATTTCACCTTTTTTGCAAAGTACAAGCAGTCCTCGACTTACGACCACAATTGAGCCCAAAATTTCTATTGCTAAGAGAGACAGTTCTTGAGCGAATTTTGCCCCATTTTACAACCTTTCTTACCACAGTTGTTAAGTGAATCACTGCAGTTGTAAAGTTAGCAATGCAGTTGTTAAGTGAATCTGGCTTCCCCCATTGATTTTGCTTGTCAGAAGGTCGCAAAAGGGGATCACGTGACCCGGGGGTACTGCAACCGTCATAAATATGAGTCAGTTGCCAAGGGCCTGAATTTTGATCCCATGGGAATGATGCAATGGTCGTAAGTGTGAAAAACGGTCATAAGTCATTTTTTTCAGGACCGTTGGTAACTTCGAACGGTCACTAAATGTTGTAAGTCGAGGACTACCTGTAACCCTGTATATTGGATTTGAGATGTAAAAAATACAAAAGCAACTCACACTGGAAATGTTCGCTATTTAATTTCCTGAATTTAATCTTCAAACAAAGCAAAGCCATGCAAACATTGTCTTATCCTGCCAAACTAGATCTGATATTCTAATGTTTGCCTTTTTTTTTCTTCTTCTTCTTCTCTGGCACTTTCAGTAAAAAGTTCAAGGCTTTGCTCGCATCTTCTAAGCAAAGCAGCTGAAAAAGAGTATTTCAGAACGTTTGTTAATGTGATCTTGGAAAGACAGAAAGCTCGTAAAAAAAGGAGGAGACTAAGTCCAAATTGGATTAGACGAGCTAATATTTTATCCAGTCTCTGCTGCATCCCTTCGGAGAGAATCACACTTCATTAAAATGAAATTAGTACAGCTGCAGCATCTTGCTGATTTGAAAGGATTTATTCTAATGGGGGAGCAGGGCAGAGTGGGGGGGGGAGGATACCGTAGAAATATCTGCCCCCTCAGCTGGTTCGAACATGTTGATGCCCCTCTGTGTATGCATTTGGGACTGAGAGAAATTCTACTTTTTTTCAAATTACCGCTGCTTTACTTGTGATGAAATGCAGCACTGGAGAGGTAAAATGCAAGGAGAGGCCGTGTAATCCAAGAGCTTGTCCCTCTGGCTTCAGATTTTGGTTCACTTAGAGCAGAGGTGGGGAACTATGGCCCTTTTATGACTTGTAGACTTCAACTCCCAGAATTCCTGAGCCAGCCATTCTGGGAGTTGAAGTCCACAAGTCATAAAAGGGCCATAGTTCCCCACCTCTGATTTAGAGACACCCTTCCTCCC